GCATTGTCGGCTAATAGAACTAGAGTATGTTGTTTAGGAGTCTTAGATTCCTTCTAATCATTATCATATTTGAGGATAAGTCAATTAGATAAGGTTTCCTAGATTTTAGATAGAGTCAAACAGATCAAATACTCTTCTAACTCTACTCCTGTGAGAGATAAGATTAGAGAGTCCTAGTTGGTCTTCGTTTTTAAGTGCTTTGTGACCAAGAAAGCTAGTCTATAAATAGAGGGAATGGCCTAAGGTTCAAGGTACCCGTGTGTGGTCATTTGTTGTCTTTCTAATGAAAGCTTTTCCTTTGAGGAATTTTGTTAAATGGGGCGTTCATTTTTCGTGTCAAGTATGTTTAAACCAAGAGGGTTTTAATGCATCTTGTCTTGGATCTTTTGATCTTCCAGAAACCATTTTATTCATGTATGCTACTTGATAGAATTATTTTAAAACTAAACTTCTTATTTTCCTACTACTTATAGTAATTCGAGAGTTGAGCCTTTCTTTTGGCTAGGTTTTTCGAGTTCATGATGTGTGTGTTCATGAGTTGCTTTGTTGGGTTTGTCCTACTTTTTATTGGATGAGTTTTGCTTTGGCATAAGTATTTTGAGATAGTGTTTATGTTGCATATCTTTGTTGGTTATGGAGAATACTAATCAATAGTATTCCTCTATAGTTGAGCATTGTTTGCTCGTACCTTTCTTGAGTCTCTTGAATGAGTGACTGATCGAGTATATTGAATGGTGTCCTTACTATTCTAGTGTTGGTTGTTATTTAATTCGAGTCTTTCATAGATTATGTGTTCTTTGCTTGATTTGAGTTAAAGAGATAGAATTCCTTAGATAAACGACCGTTTTACTATGAATTTTCTACACTTTTTTGAGTTTTACGGAATAGACAAATTATCTTCGTACTTTCTTGTTTGATAGTTGTATTAACGAAATTTGCTTCATCTACGATATTGCTATCAACAACAAAATTGTTGGAGAAGAGCATCCTAGCGGGTATAATGAGGAATTTGTACAGATAGCGGGCCCGTGCACTTTATCTTCAGACTGAAAATATGCATTTTACGCTCGAACATATATGGGTATTGTTAAAAGATGATCCAAAATGGAAAACAGTCAATCATATGGAACGACCTTCCAAAAGAGGAGGACTAATGAAAGTGGTGAACATTTTACTTCTTCTAGCCACGATTCAGGATTCGACCTTAATGAAAGTATACCTGAAATTCGACCAATTGGTCAAAAGACAGCCAAGCGAAAGGGAAAACAAAAGGTGGGTGAAACTAGTTCGACCTCAATGTTTGAAAAAGTTATGTCCATATTACAAAAAAAGAAATTCTCTGTCGAAAATCTCACGTACGTAAAAGAGTATGACATTTTGACAAAGGATACTACAAGAATGACTGAACAACAACTTGAAGTTCTCAACAAATGGTATGCTGCTTTGCGGAAAAAGCATAATCTTGATTAGTATGGTTGTTTATTTACAAATTGTGTGAGTGTGTTTTTTTTTAATTCAAAAGAATTGTGTGTGTGTTTTTTTTAATTTTAATGTTAGTACCTTTGGATTTAGTTTTGATTTTAGGATATTATTAATATATTTTTGTATTGTGTTTTAGTGTAATACGTTTAAGCAATATGTCGTTTAATGTTACCTTAACTAAAAGTAAATTAGAAGTAAGAAACTACTTAATGTAAATTTTTAAAAAAACTTAAACATAAAGGGTGGCCGTTGGTTTTAGAAAGGAAAAAGTGGAAAAACACAAAAATGGAAAAAAAAAACCTGTTAATGCATAAAGGCTTCTTAAAATGAGGTGGCCCACCATCTATTAAATTAAACATAAAAAATGTGATTCATTGGAAAGATAATAAAAGATAAGTTTTTTTTAAAAAAAAAATAAAACTTGTTTGCAGGTATTTGTCATGTATCATTTTCCCATATTTTTGTTTCATCTATAACTACATCCCCGTATTGCAACTCTGTTTATCATTGTTGCTTTAACAATTTTGCTCAGTATCATATATTGCCCTTGTTCTTCATTTTTATCCAAAGTCTTACATTACAAAACACTTCCGTAATTTTTTTTTTTTTTTTGAGATTGTCATCCACAACACAACCACATATATGTCGCAATCCAAAATGTCTCAAATTCCTGATGATACTTCCATAGTAGCTAAAACAGTGCAATTCATAGAAGATGAAATGAATGACGACATTGATGAGAAAATTATCACAATGTTAGGTCAATTAGAAGAAAATGAAGTTGAATGTTCTCAAGTGCGTACTCGAACACATATTAAAAGAGATCGAGAAGAAGGTTATATTCGACTGTTCAATGATTATTTTTCCGAAAATTCAGTCTTTCCATTGGATTATTTTTGGCTAAGATTTCGAACGAGAAGAGATCTATTCATGCGAATTGTCGAAACACTGGAAGCTCATTCAGAATATTTTCAATGGCAGTTTGATGCTGCAGATATAAGAGGGCTCTCTCCGATTCAAAAAACAATAGCTGCTATTCGACACTTCGCATACGGAACGACAGGTGACCAAATTGACGAGTACATAAGGATTGGTAAATCCACTGCAATAGAGTATTTAATGAAATTCTATCAATATATAATTGAGATATACGGAGAACGGTATTTAGAAAACCCAACGCAGATGACATAGAGCGCTTACTTCATATGCATTCAGAGCGCCACGGGTTTCCAGGCACGCTTGGGAGCATCAATTGCATGCATTGGCAATGGAAGATGTGCCCAGTTGGTTGGAAAGGCCAATTTACTCGAGGTGACATAGGTAAACTCACTATAATTCTTGAAGCAGTTACATCAGCCGACCTATGGATATGCATGCATTTTTTGGACTTGCAGGGTCTAATAACGACATCAATGTTCTAAATCCATCCCAGTTTTTAATAATGTATTGCATGGGGATGCTCCTAATGTCCAATTCACAGTTAATCACACACAATACAATAAGGGGTATTAATTAGTTGATGGTATATATCCTGAACGGGCAACATTTGTGAAGAGTTTTTCATCTCCATTGGATCCAAAAAGGCGTTTATTTAAGGATATGCAAGAAAGGATGTAAGTGGGCATTCAGGATAATGCAAGCTCATTGGGATATTATACGTGGTCCAGCTCGCTATTGGAGTAGGCCAAAATTAACAAATATAATGTATGCATGTATCATATTGCATAAATATGATTGTTGAAGATGAAGGAGTTGAAACATCAAATTGGATTGCGGGAGATGATGATGGATGTCCTTCAATTAATTGGAACTGAGGTGCTCACCAAAATTTTCAACGCATCTTGAAACAAATTCGGAACTTCTGGATCGTCAAGTTCATCATAAACTCCAAGGAGATTTGGTTGAACATATTTGGGCACGATTTGGACAAAACTGTGATGAAAATTCAAGAAATTTATCTTTTTATGTGATTTAATTTGTATTTTTATTTTTATATCTTTATTGTGACATTTTGTACTTTTAAATTTTCTTGTATTTTTAATTATGATGTGTGTTATGTACCTTAAATGAAATGATTTTAATTAAGGATTAAATATTTTTATTTGATCTATAAATTTTCTAATTTTTCTTCTTTTATGAATGCTAGAAAAAAAATAAAATGTCACAAGGAAATGAAACGTAGTTCGAAAATGAAAAGATGTACCAACATGTTGGGGTAAAAAGTGTGGACAAACGTCTTGGTGGGGGAGGAGGGGGGGAGGGACAAAGTGCTGAGAAACTAGCCCACATGTTTTACTATTTTAGGTAAATTAATTGGAAGAGAGAGGAGTACGTAGATGTGGTTATTTATGTGGAGTTAGAGAAAAGAGCTTCACTATTTACCCTCTTAGCACTACACTTGCTCTACCATGCCTTGAATAATTAACCACAATTCATGAAGAACAAAGAACGATAATTATAATATCGACTACAAACTTCCACCAGTTAATTTTGGTATTAAAAAAATTGCAGAAATTGAAACATATTAATATTTTTAAAAACTCCAAAACAATAAAAAAAAAAAATCATGAATCACGTCTATTGGAAGGAAAGAGTTACATATGTTAATTAATGTAACATATATTTCATGACAGTGTAACAGCACGCGGAGTAAAATTAGTAAAATTGATTATTTCGGTTGCTACTCTAATACTCTCGGAGTCCTAGAATGATCATATCTGGTCTAGATTTTATTGTATTGTCAAATTGTACTAAAAACAAAACTCTAAAGAGCACGATCATTAAAATACGCAGCCTTTACAGATTTCTTTCGGACTCTGAAAATTGAGGACAATCGGTTCAAACATTCTTTGATATGGTTGTAACGAAAATTCAATGACGGATAGAAGTACAGAAAGACACTCAATTACCGCCAATAATCTATGCAAATGTGCAAACCAGTTATTGAGATAGTGGTTTTACTGATTTTGTTTGATAGGAATCTGTGCAGCAAAACCAAGTAACCAACCTCCATGAATTTGATGGGAGGAAATTGACACTGTATTTGGCATATACTCCCTCCGGTCCTTAATAGTACTCCCTCCATTCCAAAATAAATGTCGTTCTACACTTTGCACATAGTTTAAGAAACTCTTAAATAAGGTAATAAAATTACTTGAATATTCTCAACCAAACCCATTATAAAATTGTCCACCACTACATCAACTCTTTTGAGGGTAATTTTGGAAACTTTTGATAAAAAGTGCATTGAAATGTGATAACGACACTTATTTTGAAATTTCTCCATTTTGCTAAAACAACACTTATTTTAGAATGGAGGGAGTATAAGTGTATAAGACATTTTGATTTGTTTTAAGTTTAATCTAATATACATTCTTAATTAATCAAAAAACTTTAAAAATATATTTTCACGTAAACTGGATGAATTTTTTCAAACTCGTATCGAATAGCAGGCTAACGCGTGTCTATTTCTTTTTCCCTATATAGTCTCTCACTGGGTAGAAGAAACTACAGAATCATCAGCTTCAGCTTCCATGGAGACGAAACGCCGGCACAATAACACCGGAAAACCGGAAGAAAGACATTCATTCATCCAACGCGCCGGTCTCATCCTTCCATACCTCCTCCCTTCCGACCTGGCGTCCATTTCGTCCGCCTGCAAAACCCTCAGAGATATCTCTCAATCCATCACTTCCAGAAGATCTTCCGACGCTGCTAGAAGCCTCGACAACAGCCCCGTCCCATTCGTCAATGAAATTGACCACCAGCCTTATTCCTACTTCATCTACACCCCAGTTCAAACTATATCTTCTTCGTCTTCTTCATCGAATTCCGACCTTCAGGTCCAGCCTTGGGGTTACGATCCGGATACCAGACCCGACCTCACTAATCTTTCTTTTCCCGACCCGTTTCTTTTCCGGGTTCAGGGTGCTGCGGGCTGTGCTTGTGGAGGAATATGTGAGAGGGTTTCGGGGTGCCCCTGTTTTGGTGACCAGGAAACGGTGGACAGGGAGTGTGGCCCCAGTTGCGAGTGCGGTCCCGGTTGTGGGAACAGGATTACTCAAAGAGGGGTAATGGTGAAGCTGAAGATTGTTAGAGAACGGAGGAAGGGTTGGTGTTTGTGTGCTGCGGAATTCATTCCCAAAGGACAATTCGTCTGTGAGTATGCCGGTAAATTGTTCTACTTCTTTCCATTAATTTGCTTCTGGTCGTAGGAAATTTCAAAATGACTACCGGAGTGATTTTGACTTGTGAAATGTCTGAAACTTGTTGTATACTTATGTCTTTTTTTTTCTTTTTTTTTTCTTAAATACAAAATCTTGTTCTGCCTTGTACATTGCTTTTCCATTAAATCTGCTGTGTTGTTATGTGTTAATTATACGTTCCTACATAATTTTGGACCTTTTTCGTACTAGTTTAGCCAAATTCTGTTTGCACTGCTGATCATTGTTTGATGATCAATTCAGTGGATATATGTGGATGCCAACATGCTCAAATGAGGGCATTATTTGAAATTTCATGACTTACAATTTGAGTTAAAATTCAGCAGTGATTCATGAAATAGTTGATTCCGTAGAAATGTTGGCCGGTTAAGTTGCTTATTGGGTTTACAATTCGATTGATGATAAGACCATGTTTGGAAAACTATTTGGGGTTCTATCGGTGGAGACTGAAATGATTTAGGTATATAGCTAGAAAAGTTTGATATGCAATGGGATTCTGAGATAATAAAATTGGATTGATACCTGTGGAAACCACATGGAAAACATTACTGATCATGTAATAGAAAAAAGGAGGAGATGCCTGAAGAAAAACAAGTTGTAGATCACCCTAGTGAGCTTTAGAGTGTTCTGAAAACTAATGGTTGCATGTTTTCTTTCTATGAGCTTTAATGAAGTTTTATCAATTTTTAAGCCAACGGTGCTTGTTGGTTGAGTAAGATTGTGATGACAACGATTAACAAATTGGACTCTTGTCCATCTTTATTGAGAAGGAAATCCTTTTCTTTTCTTCATTGATCCCTTTGAGTTGATCAGGGGATAGTCTTACCAATCTCTTATGATGTTAGATTTACGCAATTTGACTGCTACATTTGCATTGGGAAAGTGTAAACCATTGTAAAGCTCATATTTCATCATGAGACGGTAATTAAAACATAATGCTTAAGGTTCCTCTCTGCATGTCCGAAGAATATAAGCTGTTTTGCCTGGTTTAGCCTAGGATAGTTACAAAGGAAAGAGAGTAGGGATTTATATGAATTGTAAGCCAAGAGGAAGTAAAAGAAATTCCTGGTGCTTTTCCCACCCCTAATTTCAAGTTTTGCAGGAGATGTCAAACTTCTTGTTTCCTTTTTTTTCTAAAAGGCATGATTTGTGTGATTGGAGTGCCATTGTTTGTGAAAAACTTAGCAAGCCAAATGCTTTAGAATTGGATTGATAACTCGTTACGTTAAAAAGTTAACGATTTCAATTCTTTGTTTTATTTTACAATCAGCCGTGCTTCAATTGTACCTTTGTTGTGCCCATATTTGATTTGTTAAAATAAATCTTTGGAACACAAAAACCGGTTTCAAATATTGAAGAATTAACGTGATGCGAATCTAAGGGTACTCCATTAAACTTTTAGAAAGATCTGAAATTAGAACTGCTTGCTTTTGAATTAGTTATTCAGCAAACTTCAGTATGGAGGAAGGAAAACATAATCTTTTAATGTGAAAAGCAGTTAGTAGCCCTAGATTATACTATAGTGTAAGTAATCAAGCTGTATAGAGGAAAATCAATATTTATGGGTGTGGCTGTGGGGAAAGTAGACTGATTCACATTTAGTGCAAGGTTAGTATCGTAGTTATCAGTGGATCTCGTTTCCTCATTGAGAACCTCTTAAAGAATTCTGAATATTATGGTTGCATAGACTCTTTTTATGAGCAAGATTCTTGTGGGAAACTATTTCTTCAAGTTGAGAATCTTCATCAAAGTTTAGTCGATTTCCTTAGCCAGGGGTGCTTGTTTGTTGCTTAGGATTGCATTGATAAAATGTTCCATGATTGGAAGCATGAATTGTCCCGGTTTCTGACATTTTACTTTGTAGTAGCATTTTAGCAAGTAAGGTTCGTGAGATAACTATGGCAATGAAGTCTATGTTTTGCCTCTTTTTCTGATGAGAATCTGGGGATCTTTCGTTAACTTTACATTAATGATAAAAGTCTCTAGCAAGTCAGCGTTTATTTACTTATCTGTGGGTATTGGCATGGTACGTTTCTGGAGGGTATTGAGAGAGTTTAGGTAAAATCGACGGTCACGTTTCTTTTTTTGTATAGTGAGTAATTTTCATGGGAACATTGGAAGACTTTCTAAGAACAAATTCTGAAGCTCTGGTTTCACATCACCTACAATTTATGATTGTTTTCTTTCCGTTTACTGGATTTTTTAAAGCTAATCCGCTGGTTTATACAAAATTTGGTTAAAATGAACGGGACTGGGATGCGTAATTCTGGCTCATGCTGCTATTTCCTTGGGACTAAAGGAGAGAGATAGAGATCTCTTTGGAATTGACTGTCGTCAAAAAGCTGATTTTAAATTTTTTTCATTTAGTTGTGGTGGCATTTCTGGGTTGCACTTTGATAAATTTTGGGATGATGTCTTTTGATATCTGTGTTTCATGTGCTTATGAGTAAAGCTCTTAACACGATCCTTCATATTTGTATATAGTTTTGATCTCTTTGTGCTTGTGCATTACTTCTATAGCAAACTGTGAGAATTTCGCCTGGCAATAAATAATAAGCGACTCGCTTTTATTAAGTTGTGCATACACGGTCTGGGTCACAACTGACGTAAACATCAACGCTTTCTCTTGTTTAAGCCTTAGATCACTGTCATTTTCAATTGTTCATTTGGCATTTTTTCAATATCTTATATTTTTTATAATTCTCATTTTCGAAGCTATTCCATTTATTTTCTTGGCTTCTTCTTCTGAGCATGAAGTTCAAATGTTTCTAACTTTATCATTTTAATTTTTCCTAAAGGTGAACTTTTGTCTACTAAAGAAGCACAGTCAAGGCAGCAAATGTACGACGATCTTGCAATAAATGGCCAGTTGTCTCCTGCTCTTCTAGTTGTAAAGGAACATCTCCCATCTAGAGATGTGTGTATGAGGACGAATATAGATGCTACTAGAGTTGGGAATGTAGCCCGATTTATGAACCATTCCTGTGATGGTGGCAATATGAATACAACAATAGTCCATAGCTCTGGATCCTTAGTGCCTCGCATCTGCCTTTTTGCTTCTAGAGATATTCATAACCACGAAGAGCTTACCTTTAGCTATGGAGATAACAGGCTCAGGAAGCAAGGATTGCCTTGTTTCTGTGGTAGTTCTTGTTGTCAAGGCTTCCTGCCATCAGAGAGAACATGAGTATGGACGGGTAAAGAACTGGTTTCCGTAGCTGTCAGCATCTCCCTAATTGGTTTACTTAGCCATCAAGCTTAAGAAGCACCAGCATCCACTTATTTCTAGGGATATCCTGCGCTAAGTGTATCCCTGATTTAGGTAAATTTTCTATATTCAAAAATTTTGTTTATCAACAATTTGGTACTCATTGGCAATACTTGTGCGCATTTCATCAGCTCTGAATTTGATGATACGAAGTTTATGGGACGTACTAGTCCTTGTGTTATGCATATGGAGATGGTTTATTCATTTAACTTCCATTTGATATCAAGTTCCATACTTCCATTTTATTTTATTTTTAGTTATCAATCAAGTTTCCTTTCCAGTTTTAGTTGTTTATCACACATGCTCATTATCCTAGATTACCTTTTACGATTTTAAGATCACCATTATGTAGTCATCTATTTGTCTGACCATAAGGGGAGTTAATAAGTCTGATTTTTGGATTGTTTCCCAGCCTCATCTTTTACCACATGAACATGATAATGCAACACACAACTCCGCCTATTTTGGGAGGTATTGATATTAAATAGGGGCGATATTGTAAGCATTTTGTTTATGCTAGTCTGTACATAGATAACATCTGGACTATTGAGCTTTCTCAACTCTGATTGTTCATGTGTGTGACATGGTTGCAGAACCACCACTTGGATTGTTTTCCATTTGACTGATTGAGATTGCCGCTTGCAAGATCACAAACTTTGCTCCCAGTTCATTGTATTCATTGCTGCCATTTCAATTTGTGCATTGTGTTTCCAAGGTAATGTTAGAGATGTATTTTGTATGGGCAAGCTGCGTAGAGAACATGTAACATCGTTCGTCATCCTCAGTTCTAATCATTCATATTTCACTTGGGATATTTGAATAAGATTTCTGTGGATGAGTAGTTTTTTCTTAGAGATACACTTTTACTGCCTTGTTTATTTCCAAAAGTTTTTGTGCCCTTTAAGAGGCCATGGTTTTGCAATATGTATCTTTCAAATCAAACCTGTTGAATATCTTTTCAGAACAACATTAGAATCGAATTAACTTTCAAGCGGATTTCCAAATTACAAAATGGAATAAACATGTAGCCGTAGACTGCCTTTGATGGCTAATGTGTTGGATGTGGTGTATTTGAGCAAGATAAAGGTAAAATTACCGAGGTAAAGAAGAAAAGTTCCTAATGCATTGGCTTGCACCCTGAAGCAAGATGAGGATCTTAGAATACTCTTGCATACACTCTAATTACATAGAGTTTATTAATTTCAACGCCCTTTTAGACTGGTACCTTTTCTAAAAGTGGACAAGAAAAAAGGGTAAATTGGTCAGTAATAGAGATTTTAATTTTTGTGGAGCAGTCTAGCGCAAGTCTGGAGGCCTGTGTGATACACTGGAGAGTCATCACTGATATGCTGGAGAGCCCTTGCCGCTATTGGATTTTGCTACCATGCATACTGAAGCTGAGAAACCTCAAGTCCGAAGGGTATCCTCAACAGACGGTCTATCTGCTGGATTTCTGAGCAAACATTTGCAGCAGATTTCTGTCATTGTTTTCAGTGACTCATCTGTGCACGCAGTCGTCATACTTCGCTAGTTAATGCTTGGTGTAGAAATGTAAAGTTAAGAGAATCAGAAGCGATTTATATCTTTGATATGTAATGAGCAGTCACTATAAACCAACTGCAGAAATATACAAAGAATAATTCAATAGACTAAAATGTCCAAATAGTCTCTTACATTTGGGCCTACTTGAATTTACGTCCCTTACATTAATATTTCAATATCGTAGTCCTAAACATTATGTTTTCACACTTTTTTTGTCCCATTTCACTGTTTCCAGCCGTTGACACGTCGGAATCAGAGGTATTTTTGTCTTTTAATTTAATCATTAAAAATATTTTAAAATTCAAATTTTATTATTTAATTGTTAAAATATCATTTATTAATTAAAAATATTATTGTACAATTTTAAAATTTATCTTTTTTTTCAAAATTATTTTTTATTTACTATTTACTTTAAGTACACAGTAAATAGTAATTATGTTGTACTTTTAACTTTGAGCCCACTATAATTTAAAAAATTAACCAAGTTACAGTAAACAATTCAAAATTTAATTTTTTTTTTAAAAAAAAAGAAAAATAAAAAACAAAACTAAGATTTTTTTTACTCTGACCGCTATAGTAAACCTTAAATGGTAATTATATTACATTTTTAACCTTGTACCCACTGCAACTTAAAAAATATACCGATTCAATAAAAAGTGAGTTATGCTGCCTTTTTTGCACGTAGAAATCATAGTCAAGGAAAACCTATTTTCCCGAAATTGCCACAAGTAAAAATGATGTTTAACTTGGACGTCAAAGTGATGCGGATTTTGGTTCTATCCTCATGAACTCAACAATTTAGATTTGAGTGATAGATAAACCGGGAGCTCCACCCCATTTTGTCTGCAGCAAATGTCCTTATGAATGAACACATTTCAAAGAAACTTACTTTAAATTGAATGGGCTCTACCGGCCTCTAGCACAAGCCTGCTCTTATTTGCCGTTGATGAACCAGGAGAAGTATCAGATACTAAGCGTAAAAGAAAACACCTTTGCTGTATCAACCTTTTATGGAAAAGCACCACACTGAACTTTTGAAGTGAGTTTCAAACCTTCTCGACGTATTGTGCAAGCAAATATTAAAGCTACTTTGTTTTTGCTAGTACAAGATACGGCTTCACTAATATATTTGTTATTTTCAATCATACAGAAAAGGTATCGGGCACAACTCATCTGTACAACAGAGTTTTCGCTTAGAATGTCTATAGAAGAAGTATCTGACAGTCTACAAACTTGCTATTGATCCAATTCGCCCTGTGGTGTCTGAAGGCCACAGTAGTTTTGTTATTTAACATACCACCAATATCTAAAGACTGATGTGCTACGATTTTAGTTACCTGATATCAAGCTCCTTAAGCTCCCGTTTGGCACAAAATTCAAACACAACAAAAATTCTGCTCACTTGAAGCATCTAAGTAAACCTGATTGAAGTGTTGGTGTCTGAGTTTCCATATAAACTTGAAATGATTTGTAAAGTGCTGAACTCTTCGCCTTTATTTTTGCATTTTCATGCATCTAACAAAACGGAGGCAATATCTTTCTGTTGAACTGAAATGACTCTTTATAGTACAAACTGATCTTCAAAATCAAGAATGCATTTAGAAATCAAACTTTTTGACTGGACAACGCATAGAGACGAGGTATTCACATTGAAATTACTGACATTGGGAACATGTAAAATGGTGAATGGAAAACTCTAAGATATAGCATCACGATAAATATCAGTCCCGAGGGGTTACTTCGACTTTTGACAACAAAACAACCAACATTTGAGAATGAATGTTTGCCAGTGTATATTTTTACCCAACTATTTGATAATTTCTAGCTTAGTGTTTTGAATGCGCGACTGATGATGAGATTCTTCATCTGCCAGGTGCGGTTGATCAGTGAAAGTTAGTAAAGGCTCTGCAGATTTCATAAATATGCGGAGTAGAAACAAGGACGGGAAAGTTTTTCAAAAAATGCACATATTCTTCATTCATTGAGCTGATTTTTATACTACAAATGAGAACCTACTACACACTGTTTGTTTAATCCTAAGAGCATCCACAACAATCGTTTTTTTTTTTTTTGTGTTAAGTTAGGTCAAAAAAAGGAATAGACTATTGAAGAGTGTATAATATTGTCCGGAGAAGCAAATATTTCAAGCAGTTCAATCATGATAAAAAGTAAGTAACGTAGGGCCCATTACATGGTCAGCCGTTGGCCAGCCTCATTTCTTTATTTTCTTTCAACTTTTTTTGGTGGGCCCTCGAATGGTCAGCCGCCATGTCTTTGTTCTTTTCTTTGTCTTGATTCGCATTTTTTTCTTTGTAAATTCTGTTTTTATTTTTAAAATAAAAAAAAGTTCCTTCCTACCATTGGTCATTTAATAACGGCATGTCTTTTTTTTTTTTTTCATAATCTGGACTTTTTTTTTTGTCTTCTTCAAAATGATCTCAAAGTTTTTTTTCTTCTTTTTTACGACCGTTAGAAATTTATTGAACAATGAAAAAACTAGCCGTTTGTTACCGTTTTTCACTATAATTTTATAATTTCTTTTAGAACATAATTTAAAGTTTTGCCTATAAATACCACTAACATTCATTTTCATAACACACCACTTTCTCTATTTTCCCTCTCTTCTATACCTATAGTTCTTCCTTTACTATACATCATCTTTTCATTTTTTATCTCTCTTTTCTACTTACCATGAGCAAAACAAAAACAAAAATTCTCCTACAAACAATAAAAATCCGTCTCACAATTATTCATCGTAATATGCAAAATTTTGAATATCAACAAAATTTTGGGATCCCTAATTTGCCTTCTTCTTATGCCCCAAAGCAATTCGTGATGTATGAATGGTCCGGTTATTTTTCTCAAATGATTGGAAATAGTTTTCCAATGGGATTTACAAATACATGTTCATCTTCCGGAAATCTATCTACACTAATTTCAACTAGCCGAGATGAATCTGACTCTCCAAATGCAACACCAAGGGCATCAACTCCCCAATATTATTTTTCACCATTTTCAACTCAATTTGGTTTGGATAATATTTCTCTCTCGCAAGCACCAGAAAAAGAAAATACTTCAAATTATGAAGGTTAGAGTGAGGAGGAAGACATACTTCTGGCTCCCGCATGGCTCACAATTTCTAACTGTAGTGTTACGGGAAACTACCAAGATGTGAAGGAATTTGGAAGAACATCGTTGCCTACTACAACAAAAATCGAGGATCTTCACCACAAAGAGAACAAGGTAAGTTAAAGTGTCATTAGTTTTGGTTTTCAAAGTATGTCAATGAATTTAACCAACACTACAATAAACTATGGAATGAGCACCGTAGTGGGTGGAGCGATGACTTAATAAAGGATACAGCTCATGAGGTATATTACGAAATTAAGAAAAAAATATTTTGTGCATAAGCATAAGTGTATAATTGTGAAAGATGTGTTGGATTAAATCCATATACCGTAGAGACCTTCACATCAAATTATTGAGAATTATACGAAATCGAAAGCGTACCTTAATCTGAAGTGGCAAGGACATCAATCCGATTTGGCCTTCCAGATGATTCCGTCAAGCCCTTGCGGGAACCTCTGACAAATGGGGAGTCGAGATTTGGGCATGACGGCTCATCTGGGGACCACAACCAATATATAATAGGGTTTCCGGTTCCACCCATCACAGAACAGGAAACTGGGCCTTACGGTTTCTACACAATACTGGGCCACACCTTATAACTTAATTATTATAATTAGCCTAAACTTTAGTTGATTTAATTAGATCACTTTATGTGGGCTAGTATTTTATGATAACTTATAACATACAATTATATATATTTGTGTATAAAGTCCACATAGATCTTACAATCTCCCACTTGGACTATACGCCATATATATACCTTATAACTGTATATTATACCGAAAACTTAAGAGCGCGCAAAATTTGCTATCATAAAGTGACTTAAACAATCCCGTCCATTAATTATATAAGCATAGGATCAAAGGGGCAGTCATTGCATGAATGACAACTAAACCTATCAGTGGTCACATACATTAATATAACTAAATAACATGGATCAAGTGTGGCTGTGTAGCATGAAAATTTCATGTAATGTGATCTTTAACATGTCTATTTCCAACTGGTCCTCCTTACACTTTAGTGAGATCAACCAAAGTTTCAGAATGTAAGCACATTGAAAAACTTATTCTTATACCTTAAACTTTACTTGAGACTTTACACTTTGTACTGCAGTATTAATTAATATCTGAATGTTCATAAATGCATAAACCCTTAGTAAAACCAAAATTACAAACTCCCACTAAACCGTCATATCATCAGATTACACAATACTCATTTGAGTAAGATACTCACCGAATACCTTAGCTGAAGTAATCTGTGATATTGGAGTTTGTCCGAATGTGCTCCTTAAAAAATTTATTCATTCTGAACTTAAATCTAACAATTAAGAACTTAATGTTCATTGTTATTAGAGTATCTTGAATTGTTGCATTATTGTCACATTATAATTTAAGTAGTCTTTTAAGACCATATTGTATTTGCGGCCTTGTGACAATATCGACAACTAAACTGAATCGAAGTCGGGATACTGAATGATCTCTAACTTGACTGAACTCCAATATGTGAGCTTGTAATTTTTAAAGTCTTAATGATTCCACATAAACTTATAGCTGCTACTAAATATCTAAATATAATTCTTTAATTATGTGCTATAAACTCCCACTGAAATTGTGATGTGTATAATCATCACAATATTTACCTCAAAACCAAATGAGATGAAAACTTAAAAATATTTGAGTTATTAACAGGAAACTTTTTTTTAAGTCCTTAGATGGAATTCTTTAATTTTCAAACCGTCAAACAAAGTTTTCAGGTTGCACCAAATAAATTGTCTCAAAATGTCCCCATTAAGAAACAATCTTTTAATATCCATCTAATGAAACCTAAATATAAAATCTACCATATATGCCATTATAAAATGTCTTAAAATTCGGACTTCCAAAAATACTAAAGAGTCTCTATAAGATAATGCCATCTTTATGACTAAATTCTTTATTGAGAAAATAACTCTAATATCTTTTTACATCACCTTTGGGTAATGAGAAAAGAACCTAAACGTTATTTTTATCAATTACTGTATTTATTTATTTTATGGCACTAATCGTAACTGTATTTCTTCTCTCTCTCTTTTGGATTCCCTTAATGGCATCCGTACTTGAGATTGTT